TTTATGGTAAAAAAAATGATCAACAAAAAAAATGCTCATATGAATATATGATTTGATTTAAAAAAAGGAAGCCCTTATTTATATAAATCTTAAAAAGTTGAGACCTTATAACATTGCATCAAAAGAAAAATAAACATCTATGGAATTTCAAATGAACATTTATACACAATTGTCAAATAAAATCATTCTCAAATAAAAGAAACCCCATATTCTGACATCTATTTTAATTAAAAATAAGCATCCATAGAATTCATACATCATTCTCCAATAAAAGAAACCCCATATCCTTACATCCATCAAATTAAAAATAAACATCCATAGAATTTCATCATTCTCAAATAAAAAAAACCCATATCCTTACCTCTAAATTAAAAATAAACATCCATAAAATTTCATCCTTTCAAACAAAAGAAACCCAAATAAACATTCATAAAATTTCATCCTCTCAAACAAAAGAAACCTCATATCGTTATATCAATTTCATTACAAGAAACCCCACTAAAAATAAGGTCCATCAAGGTTCAAGCACTTCCACTTTCAATTTCAATTCCTCCACTTAGCATCACTTACGTTGAACACCTATTGAGAGAAGATCACAAGCAATCATTGAGATAACTTGAACTATTGAGAGAAGATCAATTGAACTATTGAGAGCAGATCACAACCAATCATTGAGATAACTTTAAGATAAAAAATCAGCATCTTTCTCTCCATGTAAAATCCATAACAATAAATAAGCAACAATGTAATAAAGAATAAAAGAAAAATGAGATGTATCCATGACCATTGAATAAATATAATGCTGAAATAAAACGATTCATTGATGATTGAACCACACAATAAGAAACACAACTTTCCTGCCCAATGATCAATCACAATCTTCATCATCATCGCAAAGTGTAGAAACAGCAAAATTACCAGATGATGCACCCCCACCAACTAAATCTAAAAGGCAAACAAAACAGTAACAATTAACTTGTAAAAGCAACTACAATTAAAAATAACATGACCTAACAATTTAAATATGGAAAGAAACTCATTTTATACTTCAACATCATTATGAAGCCAATCTTGTGCACACATCAATGCTTGTACTGTCTTTGATTTCAATGAGCTACGATAATCATCAAGAACGCGCCCCACTGTGCAAAATAAGGACTCCCATGCAACTGTAGAAACAGGAATAACCAAAACATCTTGAGCATCTTGGAAAGGTTGGGAAACTTAGGTGCATTGAGTTGCCACCACTTTAGCATATTGAAGTTTTCATCAAATGGGAAGACAGGTTTCTCTAAGTACAGGTCTAACTCAGACTTTCTAGATAAATTGATTGAGTTCTCACTAATGAAAGTTACAAAGTCCCCTGTCAACTTACCAATAGTGTCCAATTTCTCTCGCTCACTCCACTATCCAAAGAACTCCCAAAGCTACCTACTAATGCTTTATCACTTTCATAGTTCTTATAAAGATCATAAATCCCATCCCGAACTATACTTACTTGGTGCTCTACATCATTTCCATAGATTTTTGAGTAGTAGTATTGCACAACCTGCAATTTATATCGACGATCAACCACAACTTGCTACAGCCAAAATCAAAGAACGAATCTTCCAACACTTAATCAAAGTTATCTTTCACTTGAATTGCCATAAAACTTATATGTTCCTTAGAGCTCATGCTCCATTACGTCAAAGCCACGTGAATCCCACATACCGAAACAAAATATAGATTAACAGTTGGATATTTAAACCCTGAAAATCTACATGCGACATCAAAAAAAGGTTTCTAACAATCATATATTTCTTTTGCAGTCTCCCATTCACTATCACATGGTACCCAAATTGGGCGAAAATTCATCTTGAGAAAAATGATGACATGCCTCCTTTAATGCTAGGGCCACATCTAACATTTTATATGTGGAGTTCCACCGAGTTTGAAACACAGTAGCTTCGTCACATCTAACATTTTATCTGTGTTTTTAGAGAGAGAGAGAGAGAGAGCCGATGGTGGCTTGGCAAGGTGGGGAAACACAATAGCTTGGTCAATAGTCCCTCTTTGTGTGTTTGGTTTAGAGAGAGAAGCAAGGTGCGGGGCTTGGCTTAGCGATGGAAACCTCAAACCAGTAGCTTGGGCTTGCTTGGCGATGGAAACTGTTAACTATAGAAACCCTAAGTCCCTAAACCTAAGTCTTTTGTTTAGAGAGAGAGAAGGGATTGGATCAAACCCCACCGTTCATCCTCAATTAATATACGGTGGGGATTAAGTCTTCTAAGTTCTTAAATTATTATATATGTCATATCATACTATATATAAAAATTATAACTTACATCCATAATTTAAATTATATTGTTTTTAAAAATTGGGTCGAATCCAGATCGGATCCACCTGTACCCGGATTCGATCAAGATTTCCATTCGGATCTGACTTTAGGATCCGGATCCGAATTTCAGATCCAAAACCGGATCCGAAATCCAAGTTTTGGATCCGGATCAGGTCAATTCTCAATTCTAGAGGTTATTGATAATGGTTTCTCTTTGAATATGGAGGATATTGAAATATGCATCGATATATTGGTCAATTTGGAAGTGAAAGTTAAGATACAGGTTTCTCTCTCTTGAGTTTGACTTTGGCCTGTGTGTGTGTGTGTTGTGACATGAAAGCATTTGAGGGGCCCAATGGTAGTGTGTGAGTCTCTATTCTTAAGATGATTTTAACTCGCAAAGAAAACAGCAGGATTTAACCCTGACTCAAACCCACTCCAACCCAGGGGGATCCAAAGCTAGATCCAGACCCAGACATGATCTCCCAGGTCTGGGGATCCAAATGCCTCAGACCCAGACGTGATCTGCCAGGTCTGGGGAGCAGCACTAATCAGTAGTTGCATTAGCTTAGAGTCAATGTGTGTCTCATGTCTCATTTGAGGAGTTGATGAGTTGGTATAGCATAAGAAAATAGTCAATTTACAATGCACAAATACAGCTATCGGTACAGGTAAAACATCATTTTTTTCGCAATTTTACATAAGTTATTGAAGTATCAGATGGGTACAGCACCCATATTGACTAGCTGAGCATCACAGGTGTCAAATCTTTTTCTAATTAGGTCCTTTTATGGCACCTTGTACAGATCAAAAAGTGGGATCCCAACTTGCTTAGGGTACTGTGTTCCACCATGGGTGCTTTCTTTGGAATGCTATGGCACTCACAAGTGACCATTTGAATCAAATATATTAGTCTTTTGTTCTTTTTGTACACGTGCATCATGTGACAGCAAAGGAGTTATGGAATCATCTTCTACTCACCCCTTCTTCAGAATCATGTAGAGATTCTTCCATTAATTTTTTTTCCTTAAAGTCATCGCATATCCAGTAGCCATGCTCATATGAAGAAGATCACCATTCCCTTTACATAAAAAGTTAATATTCTTTGGATTATGGGCTCCACTGCTGTATTTATGAGCAATTAGAATAAATGAAATAAGATTTTGAGGGAGGTTCAAACTAGTCTTGGGGCATTTAGTGAGAAGATCTGAAATGTTATCATCTATCGAACCCTTGTTCGACAGGAATTCCAAGGTTTAACAGCATTGGATTGGTTAATATTTGAATGACAGTTTTCAGCAATGATTTTTTATCATCCGAGCCTAATACTACACGGATCCTCACCCAAAAGACACCATTAAGTTTAATTTCAGAGGTAATTTCTTTGGCAATCCAAGGCCCTTAGGGGGATTGATGAAGCAAATTTTATCGTGACAAGACTCAACTCATGTTTTCAGTCTTTCAAGTTTGCTAGTGGTGGCAGGCAACTCAATGTTATCAAGTGATCAAAGAAACAACTATATGAGGAGCTTCTCTTACAGCATCCATGAGATTTCCTCGAACCCGCATGTACAAAATGTTGCAATGAAATTGCAGATGTAATTATCAAACAAAAATTTGGAGGCATAGATCAAAAATCAAATCTTGCTGGAAACTATTTGTGCCAGATCCCACTATCCCACATTGCCAATCTGAGGAGAAATTGATACTATTGTAGACATATCACGATGTCATCATATTTAGCTAAACAAGTTACATGGAAGTAATCCTTGAAGTGAAGCCCCTTTCAAGTGGCAAATACATTGCCTACTTTCAGATATAATATGTCAATTAACCTGAAGTCATTAGTTTGACATAAAAAGTATCATAAATGACATGCAAACAGTACCAATTGGATGGATATTATGTCCAGCATTAATATGATCACTCTTTAAAGCACAAAGAGGAACATAATCTAAAGAATGATTAAGGTTGTTGTATCATAAACAGGGTTCACATCATAGTTGAGATTAAATTGATTACGTTTAAAAGAATTCAATTCAACAGTCAGATTTCCCACAACATGTCAGAAAAGACGTGAACACCATAGATGTGAAATAGGACAAAGATACCGAAATCTGTATCCATGTCTCAGAAACACAGGATAAAGAAGTTAAAGAGAAAATTAAGACAAATTTCAATAGCATTAAGAAAGCAATAATTTATTTTCCTTTCTTTTCTTCTGACCTATAACTTTATTAAAGAGAACAAGGATATCTGATGATTTAAGCAACATAGAAATCTAATTATAAACATAATAGGGGAAGGTGCATGGCTCTCTACAAGTTTTACAAGGAAACTCAAAGGTTTTAAGAAAGATTGAAGGATCGTGATGAATCAAACATTTCATTGGGTTTTAAATATTAGAATTTTTTTTTTTTTTTTGATACTTAACAAAGTTCCATTGAAGAAGTAGTAAGTAAAAGAGAAATATGTCAAGTAGATATGAGGTTGTGAAATAGATAATTCCAAAAGGTAAGTTGATTTAATTTAAAAAAATAAAAAAATAAAAACTGCATTCCACATTTGACGAGGTGCATATTCCACTAGGCCTTGTCACATGTTTATCAAGGCATAGAACTCGTTGGGACTAACGCTAAAAGTATATTAATGCTCATTGTAGCATTAATAAATACTTTACCAGTGTAACAAAGTCCACCCCACCAATGCAACATTGCACATCTCTCGTGCCAGCTATCCGCATTGCATTTGCTTCCTCGTTAGCTACCACATCTAGGACAAAGAAACCACACATAAATATGGTCAAGCCTTTCCCTAAAAAATTTACTGAAGGTAGATGCATTAGGGGCCAATAAAATCATAAAGGTCCAATAAAATCAGAAACGATGGCTGAAAACCTGAAAGATTATTTTGCGCTTCCACATGAAACTTTTCTCGACATGCATTGCAGAATATCCAACTTGGAAACCCATCAATAGAGAAGTCACAATAAAATGGATGAAATCGAAGTTTCTGTGAAATTTCTGCAGCATCAACAGCCTCCTTTGCCCTTTCTAGTGCTACCATGCTACAGTCACAAGCATAGACAACAATCGTATCTTTTGCACTGCACAAATAACAGATGAGTCAGAAAGGCAAATAACAAGTAAGGATAAGGGGGCTGCAGAAGATCACGCATATAAAATCCACGTACTATGTAGCCAATGGGGAAAGTACACCATCCTACATGCAATACACAAACAGTACACAACATGCAATTTCAACCATCTGTACCCAACAACAGACAATTGAGTTGAACCAGTCCTCTGTTTCAGTGGAGAATGATGGATTTGACCTATAGTTACAGGAATCTCTCTGCCCAGGTCGTGATTCCACTTCAGAGTCCCCATTCGGCGATTCTAACAAGGAATCTTCACTGAACCTGTTTCCTTGAAGTCAGCTATAGCGTGCTCAGGTGGTGGTACATGACAATCGCAGTGACTCTGTTGGGCTGATTAGTTCGTGAATGTGGGACTAGGAATGCACGCGGGCTAGACCTACATTGGGTCTAGGCAGACGCAGACCTAAGCTGTTAAGCTAAAAGACCTTAAATTCAGGCATGGCCCATCAAGCTAAAAGACCTTAAATTCAGACCCAGTCCAACGGGCCCTATGAAGGTCCCCAGACCTAGCCAAGCCCATATGCACCCTATTTTTTATTTTTTTTTTAATGGTCCATATGCACCTTATTAAATTAAAAAGTCCGAAAATAAGGGTCTCAGGCATAAATACTATGGCGCAATCCCAGCCCATTAAGATAGCATTCCTTAATTCAGGACTGGCCAGGCCAGATGGGCCTCATGAGGGAATCCAAATGGGCAAATGTCAGGTTGGACCTTCAAGGCCCACCAGGGATGTTTACGGGCTAGTCTTTGGGCATCCATCAAAGTTCGGTGTTGCATTGTGGACATTGTTTTCGGCTCTAGAAGTCGAGAGATTGTCTTCGAGCTTTGATGGATGCCCAAAGATAACCCAAATATCTGTGGGTTCAAATTCACCTAAATCTCCCATAAAACAAGAAAAGTCTGTATCATATGTGGATGAAAGAGATTCTACCAGGGGGGGTTTCCCCCAATTTGCACCATGGCAGCACGAGCATGACAATATGATGAGAAAATGTGATGATTCTACCTCTCTTCCTCCCAGCTTACTGCTCTGCCACTTCCAGTGAGCATGCTGTGGCAGCAGTGGGGCACACCAAAAGCTTGGCTCTGAGGATGCTACAAGATATTTTGGCCATTCAATCAGTTGGGACTCAACACCTTTGACAATATGGCAATTCAATGGGACGATTTGCAATACCAACTCCTAATTCTCTAGGCCAGTAGCAGTATTGGAGGTGTTTGCCACATGCAGCTCCTACTACTGCTGGCTATGTCACATGGATTCTTCTGTTTAGGTGCTTTACCCATATTGGACATGCATCAATACACATATGGACACAAATTCTTCGAACTTCTTTTTCTTGGTTATTAATCAGTGATTACATCCATTTTGAGGTTTGATCTTCTTTTATGCATTAAGTGAGCATATGAACTTTGAAACTGTCAACGGAATCAACCAATAAAAGTATAATTGACTATTACTTGCTACACATCATAAAATGGAATACTAGCAAAACATTGTTGGATTTGGTTGTCTCAATTAAAAATACAGAAACCAAGAAACTAAGTGAAAGAAAAGTGAAGGAGATTGAGTCTAAAAATTGAGAAAGTTTTAGAGATAGGAAGAGACAGTCAGGTTGAGTGAAAAAAGGGAAGGAGAGAATGAGAGAGGGGTCATGATTGTATCTAATGGACCACCCATGCCCCACAAACTTGTATATATTATTAAAATATGTTCAAGTATGATAAGAATACTTTGTTATCTAAGTCCTAGGATCTAAGTGTCCTAAGTCCATTTGTATGGGCAATTTTGTCCACAACATATTTGCATTGGCAGTTTTGTCCAATAAGACTTTCTTTAAAATAATATGTAAGTTAAGAGATGTGTGGGGTTTGTTTGAACCTCACATCCACTCTCTTCTCTCTCACGCGTCTCTCATGTCTCTCACTCTCCTCTCTCTCTCACCTCTCTCATATATCTCTCTCCTCTCTCTCTCACCTCTCCCATATATCTCTCTCCTCTCTCTTCTTTTTTTATTTTCTCTTCTCTCTCTAGAAATCCTGACATGTTATCAAAGCAGATCTGAACTTTTCTTTCATCATCCCCTTGCCTTTCATCTTCCTCTTTCCTTTCGTCTTTCGCTTTCCTTACATCTTCCCCTTTCATTTTGGTCTTCCTCTTTCCTTTCATCTTCCCCTTTCCTTTCATCTTCCCCTTTACTTCCATCCCTTTCCTTTTCTCCAAAAAAAAGAAAAAGAAAAAAGAAAAGAACAAGAAGAAGAGCAGGAAACCCTAACCTTGTTGATGCTGATTTTGTCATAGGGTACTCTATGACAATTTGATCTACTGGTAGTATGGAGATGCTGTTTTGTGTGTGAATTCTCTTTGGAGATCGAAATCTACAGAAAGATCATGACCTAGCTTCAAGTTTTTGCCAGTCTATGTTGTCTGTGTTTTTCCTCTTTCGAGAACAAGATCTACAAAGAGGTCATGACCTAGTTTTAATAATGGCAGCATGGTGATGCTCAGATCTGTTTAATGTGGTGTTGCCCTAATTTGTTCAAGTGTGAGAACATGATAAGATTTAAATGATAAGTATCACTCTCCTCTTTAAGTGGTTTCTAATATTGTACAAGGCTTGTGTGAGTAACTGAAATTTGATGATCCTGGTGTCCTATTTTCCTTTTATTTTATATACTCATGGATAAGGAAATTAAAAACAGAATCCTTAATCTTCCTAAAACTGTGGGAATACAAATCACCTCGGTAAAATTAAATAAGTCCAATTATTTTGTATGGGCTCAATCTGTTAAAGTATCCCTTCGTGCAAGGGGAAACTGAAATACTTGACTAAGGATAAACCCAATAAATTTAATAGTAGATATGAAGAGTAGATGAGGGAGACCGCACGTCATTCTCTCGGAACTTACCCAACGAGACCCATGGGCCACAATCTGTAGCAACGGCCCATGCTTGGCTTATCAAAGTCTATTCGATAGATGGCCGAGTCTCGAAAATATAGTGGATTGCAGGTGGACCCTAAGGGCATGCACTCTCGTGGATGCAGGATACTCTCTCAAGCACATGTGCATGTCTCAACGTATCAAGTGAGAAAAAGCGGCTTCCCACTTGCGATTATTCATGTACATGTTGTGAGGTTTGTGGTTAGGGATTTGGCTCATGCCCTCTTAGAGCTAATCCTCCTAACACAGTGTTGCATTTGTACTCATAAGTAATCGATTATAGAAAGAGCTCAAATCCATAGACAAACATTCTCATATAAGAAAAGAAATTGCTCATACCCTGGTTGAAACGATAATGAGGTGTTCTCACACCGACACTGACTAGGAACAACCGTCAAGGTTTATAGCCACTAAATCTCCTCATGATCCAAATTTTGTGACTATCAACACCACCTCCATATCTCTTGTTGCACAGATCCGGCAAGTTACAAGTTCTCACTCACTCAACTACAATTGGGAACCATGGGCAATCTTGGTGTCAAGGCCTTGAAAGACCACAATCCCAACATAACCAACCCTGACTCGAACTTGAAAGACCACAACCCCAACATAACCAACCCCGACTCGAACCTGACCCCAGACCTCTAGACTTGAGGTCCATAGGCTCCAATATCACCAAATGATTCTTACACTCTCATAGGAGGAGAGCTTCAAGGATAGGATGAGAGGTTAGTTGCTAGGTGGTCTTATGAAATTGCCACCCCATTTCACGAGCTAATTCTAAATATTACCAACATATGATTACTGCTATAACTGAAGTCAGGCCGAGAGTCAAGGGCCCAACTTCAGCTTGGCCTATAAGGAAGAACCTAGATGATAAGGTAGTGGAAGTAGATTTATTCCTTAGGATTTTAAGCAGTCATGGGGTACAACTAGGTCACAATTATGTCAAATCATTGGCAGGATAAGCAAGGGAAGCACATAGTGAATATCCTAATCTATTGCCCTAACGGAACAATTCTTCACTCAAGTGTAGATCTAACACATAAGAAGAGCACAGGAAGGCTCTTCTTTAAGAAGCTTAATGTTACTGGGGAAGAAAAAGTAGTCAAATTGATCAAAGATAACCACAAAACTTATGTGAAGGCAGGGAGACTGCTTTTGGAGAAAAGACAGCACTTAGTTTAGACCGAATACATTGCCAATGTATAGATCTCACGTTGAAGGTTGTCTGGAAGTTGAAGGAGGTGACTAGTCGAATTAAGAAGGCGAAAAATATCTCCAAATTTATATACAACCACTCACACATCCTTAGATTAAGCATTATGATGGAGAGCTCATCAGGCCTGCTATCATGAGATTTGTCACTTCCTATTTCATATTTGACTATAGAGTATATCCTGGAGCATCAATCGCGAATTCAGGATTGAGGCCAATGGTCGCATCAAAAGAGTGGCTCACCTCAGATCTCGCGATGAGTCCGGTTGGGAGGGAAGTTCACGACATTACTGGCAATCGAAGATTTTGGGTTAAATGCAAGGAGGTTGTTTGGGCAAAGACACCATTTGTGTAGGTATTGACCGATTTTAAGCCATCCATGGGATTCCTTTATGAATCGAACCAGTCGAAACATGCCATCAGGGAAAACTGCAAATGCAAAAAGAATCTAGGAGATTATCGATGCAAAATGGGCTAACTAGCTACATCGCCATATCCATGCGGCAAGTAATTATGAATTTAACGTTCCATTTATGTTTTAATGTTAATTTCTTATTTTTGTTGACATATTTATGTTTATATCAACATTGTATTTAGGCTCCTTCCTTAACCTAGAATATTATTTCAACCGAGTCAGAGACCATGAAAGGAGTGAGGTACTTCATTGAGAGACTAGAGCCTAATGAAGAGGTGATTTTATCAATATATTTTAGTAGTCAAACAGTATTTCTGTTTACTTTGAAATAGTATGATTAACTATGTCAAAATTTGCGTTTTTTAGC